GAATTGTTTTTCATTTATAAGCATTTCAAAGAGATAGCATACATGGAGAATGTTCTTTTTCTCAGCTTAATCTCAAAATAACTAGAATAACTATGAAAATGCACTGCATAGAAGTACTAAACAAATGTTTGAAACAGAAGTTTATTCCTGAATTATTAAATCACTTATGTTGCGAATTTTTAACTAATCATAGGAAAAAATAACTGCAAAGAAAAGAATTAACTCAATCCTGCTCCACTGTCTGTTTAAGTCAAGTAAAGGAATATACTACTAAAGGAATATACTACTGACATACTACTAAAATAATGGAGATAAATAGCTTATATGGTGTTTTTAAATTTGCTTATAGAAAATTAGAATTGTGCCTCACATAGGCATGCAATACAGACTTATCTTCACACAGACACACAAAGGTTAATTGGAAAAGATGACCACTAGTAACATAAAGAGTTATTACACCTTAATAGTGATTGTATACAGCATTCTGTGTAATGCGTTTTGCTATATGTGTCACTTGAGTGAGGAGCCACATTTGAGTGAACACAAAACCAGAATATCACCATACTGTATAAGTTAATTTAATGCTTTGAAAAGGTGCTGCTGAAATTGAGATAAAATTCTAGAACATGGGTATTCTTTTGAATAGTTTTTCATATCCGCTAAAGCTAACATGCTAAACCAAGGCTACATTAGAAGAAGGAGGCATGCGGTAGGTATATAAAAAGGCATGAGTAAGTCCCATGACTCAGAGCCTAAAGTACACAGTTGCCTATATGTATTAGACACCTAAAAGCAACTTGTACGTTCACATACCAAATTTATGCTTGTAGTCCTACAACTTCTCTCCAAAAATGTGACCATTTTCAATTATCATCAATTGCAAATCTTGAAAGCAACATCAGAATAAACCATATAATACAACATATAATAAAAAAAATATAAATAAAAATCCCCCCTTTGGGATAACAGGAATCCTATGTAATTTCCTGGTCTGGAATTTAAAACTGGCACTAATCAATTTCAAAGGACATTTTCAGTCAGCCCTGTAATGCAGATACCCATGCTTCTTCATTGGGACTGCTAAACTTTTCCTCTACTTACTTGTGGTAGAGTTGTTCCTTTATCCCAGGCACTAGATGTTTCTGTTCTGGTTTCCAAGGACCCCGCTACTAGCTGTGGTATCTGTATCTACATGTTTATAAGGACATGACTGTACAGAAAAGCAAATGTGATATGCACTTCTGTGGAGCCAGTGAAAAAAGCTCCACTGTATCTAATTATTAGCGGGGGAAAATACCAGGTTTGGGTAAGTCATTGTGGGCAGAGTCTAAAATAGTTGTTGCACTTACTTCTGTCTGAAGAGGTTTGTATTAGAGGATCTGAAAGGTTCCTGACTGGACTATGATGGAATATGAACACTATAGCTCAATCAGAAGCTGGAAGGATCATTATTTTTAAAGGAAATGTACTCTAAATAGAAGTGTAAAACAATTATTTCAAAATAAAGATGACACAAATAAAAAGCAGGATTTGCAAGCTAAATGTTAATGAAGATTCATACAATCTACTAGAAAATAATGGCAATGGTACTGTGATAGTGAAATCCTTTAAAAAAGAAGTAGTTTGCAAATAATAATTTTAAGACCACTGATTTCACCTTTTAAAAATTATTTTTAAGTGCTGCTTCACAGCTTCTAAAAAAAGATAGAGAATGGTAAATAAAAGATAAAGATACAAGATAACAAAGATAAAAAAGATAATGAGAATGGTTAGATACTCTAGGATAAGTATACTAATATACATATATATATATATATGTATGTATTTGCTCCACTTTTATACTCTTTCATAAGTGTCTGCTTTTACCACTGTTAAGTCAGCATGCTGGGTTAGGTGGACTTGTAGTCTGAACACCCAGTAAGTTCTTATTTATCTTTTTACATGTGCTAGCTCACCTGGGATCCTAGGGTATATACTGATGTTATTACTCCCTTTTGTATGATGACAGCTACCTCCTAAATTTCCACAGATATTGCATGTTTGTATGCTTTTGGTTAATATCCAAAACACTGTTTACAATTGTATTGTGAAGCACCTTAAACAAGTTCCATTGAGGTCTGAGAAGCAGCATGAATGGCTGCTGAAAGCTACCCTGAAGTAAAGTGTTGCCCTAGGCAGATTGTCCACTGACAGAAAGTACCTTGGACAATCTCATTTTGCCCACCAGAGTGGTAGAAAACCTAGCAAATGACAAACTTCAAAGGGATAGAGGAATACATTCTCAATGTTGAGGATCACATTGAGTTCATGCAAGCACCCATGGCAATTTAAATGCACCTGTAGCTTCCTGACTATCCAGCCCCTTCTTTTATGGTTATTAACATTTACCAAGAGTGATATATAGGAGAATTTGTATAGTTCAGTTACCTGAAATTCACATATCCAGTGTCCTGGTGCAAACCCATTTTCATTAGACTAAGACTGAGGCAGCTGGGCCTGGGAACACATTTGAACCTGCCATCCTCACTTCAGAGTGAGAAACCTTCAGCAAAGAAGTCAGCATCAGGATTTTAGCATTTTAAAGCACTGCTGCCACATCTGAAAAAGCTGGTCTATCAGAGCCCTAAGGTTCAAACGGAAGAGAAATTAGTGACTTTGGTTGAAGTTTCTGCATAAAGCAGTGACAGTTTCTTGGTGTGGTGGTAAAACCCTGCAAGAAGGATGTGGATGTATTTTAGTAAACTGTACTTAGCTGTGAAATGTCAGGGAAGAGAGCTGGGACATTTTATACCCTACTGGCATCCTCTTTTAACATGATGATATTTACTAAATGACTGTCTGTTGCAATCAGAAATGTTAAATTTATAAAAGTAATTTTCTTAGACACATTTTCAATTCGTGTTACAAAGGAGGTTTGTAAAAAAGGATAAGCAAGCAGATGTAGACACAAACCAAGTTCTAGCTTTCTAGCTACAAAGGTTTGCCTTTCTAAAAGGGGAAATTGTGTTAAGCAGCATGATTCATTCCATAGTGCAGGAGTCTCCCTCAGTAACAGGCAGATCGGTACGCTTTCCAAGCTGCAAATTCAAGTCTGTTGACTGTACAGCTACAGATTACGCTAGTGTGCAACTCCAAGTGGAATGGGGAATACCCTGTCTACTTTAAGAAAGCCATGTTGGATGGCTAGGACTAATGGTGCACAAATAGTACATAGTTTACTTCTTACCTACATAATCAGCATTTAAGTTCTAGATTTGTACTCCTTCATAACTCAGTCTATTTGTGGCTCTTTTTTTCATTTCTGCATTGCATTTCTATCAAATTCTGGTTTTCCATTGGTATGGACTGTCTTACAGATATATTTATTTTTTTTCCCCTAAGATGTTGATTTGGGCTTTTCTTCATGTTCAATTTGTAGCACAAACTTTTATAAAAAGTTGTGCTTGCAAGAGGTGAATTCAACTGAATGGTTAAACAAATTTATTTATTAATGTTTTTCTAAATTATCTGAGATGAAAATGTATTGAAGCATCTTGTATAATGAGCCACAAAATATGAATTATTATAATTTATTACTCAGTAATATATTTTTATCCTTTCTACAACTAATCTTATTTTGTACGATATATAATAGTAAATATATTTGCTATTGCATTGATAGCATTTGTTTGCATTCAGAAACTGGCAGGTACTTACATAAAGATGGATGAAACAATTATTCTTTTTAAAAGGTCAATTAAATAAAAAATGTCAGTGTGACAGTTCCCACCCACAAAGCACAAGATGCATTAATCAACCATATGTAGTTAAGAAAGCAGCAATAAACAGAAAATACAAATATTTTTGTGCAGTTTTATATCTATGAGAAAGGTTATAGTGAAAACACAAATGCACCTTAGTTTGGTTCTTCAAATTCAGCTAATTATCAAAAAATCATACAGATATTTCTGAGTATTATCCTAAACATTTAACTCTGGATCCCTATACATGGTACTATATATATATATATATATATATATATATATATATATAAAACCTAGATTGTCTTATTAAATTTGAATCTGGTTCTTCAAACCCACCTGCTTTTTCTCTTTCTGTTCTGCCTTCATATTAACAAGCAATAGCAATCAGGCCTGCTCTCCTCTCCTACTAGCTCTCAGATTGAGTGATGGTTACTGTCATTTGGTGCTTTTTAGGTGCTGCTTTTACTTTTGCTTGGATTCCTGTATTTTCTACTGAAATAGCCATTCTGAACACTGAGGCACATAGAAATGCCTCAAATGAAAGCATGAAGTCTCTAAAGGGCCAAGTATATTCTTGGATGTGTAACTGGGTTTAACAGAGAAAAACAGCAGTATAATACAGAGAAGAAATCAAGCTCCAGCTGTCTTACTGCCCATGTCCTTGTAAGGAAATGCCTCTATATTGTAATAAATCACTTATCTTTCCTTGTGATACACTTATTCTATCTTCTATAAAAAGCAGATTGTCTTAAATATACGATAAAACAGAGGACAATATTATAGTAAATTTCAGTCACATTCTGAATGAACATGAACTTTGGAATCACAAGTTTGAGGTGAATTTGTTTACTTAGGTGTGTTTCTTATTTTTCTACAGTTTAAACTACAACACATATTTGAATGTACACCAAGAAAAATTCAGAGCTGAATCGACAGCATTCCAAATTCAGAGCTCTTCTACTCTACTACTGAAATCTGTGTATCAAGAAAAATATGTGCTAGAATCGTTTATATAAATTAGTTTGTTAGCATGTTTAAATACTGCAAAGAAAGGAGCTCTATTATTTACTGTAGTTAAATATTATGAAAAACAAAAAATGATTTATTCCTATGACTATTGATTCTACACTTACCTGCAATACTCTGTCAGAATCTTCAGGCCAACAACCACCCATTTTATCATCAGAAAGACTTTGAACAATGTCATTCTATTTGTCAAGTTCATTGCATTGATAAACAGTGTATTTTGCCTTGCAGGTGGTACTGTGAAGGGAAGGAGCTTGAAAATTCACCAGACATTCAAATTATCCAGGCAGGTGATCAACACTCATTGGTTATTGTTGAAGCTTTTGAGGAGGATACAGGACGTTACTCGTGCTTTGCTTCAAACATCTATGGAACAGACTCCACCTCTGCAGAGATTTACATAGAAGGTAATGATAGAATTGTTGCAGAAATTGTTGTTTAAATTGATCATACAGGATTAAGATATAATTATGTACTTTGTATGTTAACTGTGTAAATAGATTTGTCACAAAAAATACACAGCAGGGAGTCAATGCTTCATAGTTATTAACGTCTTTATTATTTCTCTGTAAAATAACCTTCAGATGAGTGACTGCCCCTTACATGTAATTTTATTGTGTTGTTCCCCAGAGACTTTCTATATCTCACAGCGAGAGTAAAGTCTAAAAATATTCAGATTCTGATGCCAACTTATATTTTTTTTGTGTCATACCTTACAGAAAGATAAATATTTAAATTTGTATCTAATTCTTTCTAATATCTTTTCCCTTCAGTCATTATCCCAAACTGAATACAGGATAGCTTCATCCTAACTTATTACTGGGACCTCGTAACCAAAATAAATATGCCAGCAATTTGGTCTTTTACTTGCACAATAGATGCTATAAATGTCTGTGCTTGGCAGGGATTTACTACTGCTCGAGACTGGGGCCAAGGCCTGCTTTTATCTAACTCAGAGGATGTCGGATGGAAGCCATGACTGATGGAGATGCTCACTGGCAGGAACAGGAGAGAAAATGCAAATTACAAATGCAGTGAAAGCTGAATCAGAAGTGTAAAATGTCTCAGTAAGACAGCTGTTAGTAAACTGAGCTAGTATCTTCTCCAAACTGTGCTATAAGGCACCAGTTTCATTGCAACAGCTACATTACCCTCCCTCCCACACCCCCCTTCCCCCACCCCCCTTTTTTTTTAAGCCAGTAGAAAAAAAAAAAAATTCTTATATGATTCACAACAAAAATTACAGACTAAAATCTACTGGTGTCATTTTAAAGAGAATCTGGGGAGACCAAGGTATGCATTCACCCTTGGATGCTGTATTCCTCATTTCATACACACTTTATCCCAAATTTGCCTTATGTCAATAGCAGTTCTGCATCTTGCACAGTATGCAATGTTGGTTCATTTCCACTGCAATCTGATCTTCCGTTTTGGCTTAGCTTTATAATATACACCCTTAGAATGTGTTAGAGGAAATATGAATAAAGGTTTGTATCATTCATAGATAAACTCCCAAAACACCTCTGCTAAGTGTTTGGGTTTTTTTCTTTCTCACAGGAGTCTCTTCTTCTGACTCTGAAGGTGAAATAATCAAAGACGAAATGGATCAGTAAGTTGAAAATCAATTACATTTTCCATATCTCTTACAGTTTAATAACCCCACAAGCATAGACATTTCAGTTTCCATTAATATTTTGCAACTTCCAACACATTAGGCTTGTGTTTGAGATTTGCTTGGATTATTCGGGTTGCATTTTGTTTGTGTGTTTGCTTGTTTGCTTTAAAATAGTATGGAACAACTACACATTTGCTTGTGTGTCTCCAACTTTAGCTTAAGAATTGAAACTTTAATATTAAATCTAAACATAAGGAGAAATAGGTTACCTGAAAGATTAAACTACTAAAATTAATGTACTAAACCAGATGCCATTTGATAGCATCTTAAAATTCAGACCCATCTTAAAGTTGATTTAGGTATCCAATTTAAAAGTAAAATTTCTTACATTAAAGTATTTGGAAGAAGATGGCTATACATGCATTATTTAGATTTAAGATAAGGCAATTAACACATATGAACTAATGCAAGCTGAAATGATGGCATAAAAGACTAGTTAATTATTAAAAAAAAAAAAAAAAAAAGGTGTCAGATGTAATCTAAACCCTGGGAAATAATTATGTTTTTCCTAAATGAAATCCATTCTCCTTGCATTTAGAACCTGATCCAATCTTTCAGAATCAAAGTCTTTCTGTGAATTCAAAGGGACTCAGGCTCGCTGAAAACTAAAATAATCAGTCTCTTATTTTGAACTCCTTTGTATGCACTAATTCAACCTCAATAGGAACCAGTGCTATACAAATAGAAAATTTTAATTGAATAGACTTGCACCTTATTTTTTTCCATTATTTATTAATGAGGGTTATACTTTTGGATGAATTGTTAAGGTTTTCAGAGTTTTAGCTCAGACTTTTTGAGGTGTCTCTGGCATACTCTTTCTTCTTATTCATCTCATTAGGTGTTAATGTAATGTTGACTAGGATCCTGATCACTTGATGACATCTCTAAGTTGCTTACCTCATTAAATTGTGAAATAATTCTTAGGGAAAAAAAAGATTGCTGCTCCGACATTGTAACGGGATGTCCTCAGATGGTAGAATTACAAAATAGCAGTTTTGGGTATAAATCAGAGTGTCTTCATATTTGCCTAGCTTCCAGCTGTTGTCACATGAATCTGAACACCTGTAATTAAAGGGAATTAATATGAGAACCGGTGAAGAAAAAATCCATAATTTTAAAACAGAAATCGGTGATCACCATAACTGTACGTTCACCCTGAGTAAGGCTTTCTCTGGTTTCAAGGATGGCTTTCCTGTGGGGACCTGTGGTACATTCCAGAGCAGTCAGTGCTCAAACTGAATAAAAAGACCATCTCTTCATTATCTGAATTATTTCATTTAGCAGTAAAAAAAAAAAAAAATAGGGTCAACTCTTTTACTTCCATAGAGAAATAACCTAGAAGAAGTGAAGATGTGACATGTACACTTCCAAGGTTGCATGATATGTTGGTCAGAAGCATACCTTTCTTTTTTTTTATTTTTCAGCAGTAAATTATTGAATCTGTATCCTAGTAGACAATGGTATTTTCATTACCTTATAGGCCCAAATCTTCATACAAGTTCAGGGAGCAAGAGAAATTAGCATTGTCCTCTGAGAAACTAGCACTGCTCTCATGATGCTCAGAGCTGGTAACAGTAGCTTTCAAGCCATAAATGAGTTAATCCTGGCCATTTATTACACTTGGTGTAACTGAACTAAGTATGAGAGATCAGAATGGCAAAATAAGTAGCCTGATTCTTATAAAATACAGTTTACCTAGGAGTACGTATCAGTTTAGATCAATTGGAATTCAATCCTGGAAGTGAAGCTGGGGTCGACATGTAACTGGGACAGACATAAATAAGGGGGACACATGCAGCTCTAGCTTTCAATTAGAGAATTTGTTTTTGGTTAATATTCCACAGCAAACCAAAGCCAGCTGACACCTTCTTGAATGAAGCATCTCCTGCTGCTAGAACTGCAACAAAGCATCTAGAGACCTCCAAGGCACCATCTGCGGTGGCTCAGCCTGTGTCTGTACCTATCCAGCCTGTGTCAACACCAGTTAATCAGGTAGGGGAGACAATATGGTGAATTTCAAGGACCAAAAGCAAGCTCTTGCAAAGGTGTTTCTTCTCCAGTTTGTGACTCAGAATCCACAAATTTTCTAGTTTTTGCTTTGCTGATGAACTTCAGTCTTTGAACCTTACCGCCATACAGTAGTTGCATACACAGAAGAGATGTTCTGCCTACTAGGTAACCTTTAGCACCTGGTACAGGGAAGGGAATCTTTCACCCCCAGGTTACAGGCATCTCTGCGGCAATGAGCAGAAGGAGCAGCTGCTGCTAGCTCAGCCAGCGGTGGGAATCTGTGTGCACTCCAGCAGGTCAGAGACTGCATGCCGTGAAGGGCACTTGGATGTGTAACTCAGCTCACTGGCCTCATTGCAGACTGACTCATTCACTTTCAATAGTGGCAGCCTATAACTTTTTCCTGTACCTTTCCTAAAAGTTTCCTGTAACTTTTTTTCTCTCTCAAGAACTCACCTGAAATAATTTTCTTTCAATGAAACTTAAGTGGAATGATTTCCCTACTATGTTTACTTTATATGTAGATATGCTATTTACACATAACATTTTAATATCCATATCAAAGAGTTTCTAATTAATGTTAACATGCATTTAGAGTCCTTTTTGCTTCAAACTATCAGAATATTCGTAATTGTGCATTCTTTCCTAACGGAAGGAAGACGCGTATCTCCTTAAAAATAAAACTAAGGCACTTTACACTGCCTTTTCAATGTTTACAGACTAGAATTAGGTGGTAACCAGTAAACAGATACTGAATAGGTGAAGCAATGCGCATGTATTTTTGACTACAAAGAGAACAGAACTAAGCCCTAGTAACATTATGCCATTTTGACAGAGGCTGCCTAAGTCCAGAGTAGTGGTTATCTCAAAAATCACCATTTTTAATTTTGTTGGCCTGTAAGACACCATCTATAGAATTTGGCTGTTTCCTGAGATACTGAAGCACTAATTCTGCTGTTCTGGGGCAGATTCTATTTCACTAAAATGGAAAACTCTATTAACTAAGTCATATAAGGATGTTTTCCAGGAGGAGAACAATATCATTCAGATTTCACTGAGTAGGCTCAATAAGGCCACATTCCACCTCTGAAATTATTTGGTTTTGGCAAAGGATTAGACACACACATGACTTGACTGAACTTTTCCATATTAACATCCACAGATATTTTTCAAGTAAGAAGTTTTAAAAAGAGACTACCACCAAGCAGCCTACATAGATCTGCTTTAGCAAAGTATTAAGGAAAGATGTTACGTTGCAGTGAAGTTTTCCTTGCCATGACTAACTCAGTAAGGCAATAAGAGCATTGTTACCCAGGCAGTATCCCATTAAGGAAGACCACTAGCAGTTGCCTACAATAGAGCAAGGTTTTCTCATTTCATTAAATATTTTGCTTTAGACTTCGCCCACCAAAATCTCTTGTGCCATTCCAAAAGCATGTTTCTTCTGTATATGGGAAAATAACCACTATACACCTAAATATCATCATATGATGTTTTGCAATCTGCAGACTCAAAGCCCCACTAACTATTTGCAAGGACTGGATGGAAGACCTATAATTGCTGCTCCTGTGTTTACAAAGGTAATTTGTTCTATGACATATTTGAAAACTAGCAGCCAATTAATTGTGAGAGGTAATTAAAATTTTCTAACAAAGACAAAAAAGGAATTATGCATTTCTTAAGCCATTCAAGGATTGAGTGGCTTTATGAAATCTTACTGAAATCAGTATTACTGCCAGACCAATAAGACTTTTACTGACTGTCTATTCGTTTTCTCTATTAGATGTTACAGGATATTTCAGCTTCTGAGGGGCAGCTTGTGGTCTTTGAATGTCGGGTGAAAGGAGCTCCTTCCCCAAAGGTTGAATGGTATAGAGAAGGGACACTGATAGAAGACTCTCCAGATTTTAGGATATTACAGAAAAGTACGTTTCTTGTGTGGAAATACTGTGTCTAATGAAATACAGGCAAGCAACGCAACTGCTAAAAGCAACACTTTGAATTTCTCACTGCAATGGTAAGAACTATATAAGCCATACTTATGGCAATATATCTGGGTTCTAGAAGCCAAAACTGTGGATGAATTAAACAGCATACTCACAGGTAGTATTTGTCTGAGATTCCCCAAACTACTGAGTTGTTTTTTTCTGCTTTGATCCCTTTGCCACTTCAATATCCTTTTCTAATCCAGACTTACTTTCAGTGTTTGTTTTTGGTTTTGCACCATTTATGTAGAGCTGCATTGCCCATAAATCCCTTATCTTATAGTTAAGTGCTATTGCAATAGAGCTTACGGGCAGTGGATTGCTTATTTATCCACAAAAGTAACCTGATGTACATATTGGCATGGTTCCATATGTATGTGCACGATAGATATTAGGTTGTAAACATATACTTCTACTTTAATTTTTAAGTGCAGTCAAAAAATCTGCAGTTTTCTGGCATGCTAAAATTGCTGAAACTCAATAAAAAGTCCTTACATACCACACAAAATTAAACCTATAGGAAAACATATTTTATCATAACTCATTTTCATGTGTGTAATAGTTTCAGTAATTGTCTTATGACACAATAAAGTAGTACTAAGATTGCAAAAAAAAACTTCTTCCAGAATTTTTTTCCTATTCATAAATTCTCAAAAATGTTTGTAAGTGTTCATATTGTTCAGTGGATTTGACATACATTTGAGTACAAGGCCTGGCTGTCTCCACCACCCCTTAGAAAACTGCATCAAAAGGAATATTCCATCTTACTGAGAAGATCAAGCTTTGTATTTAGTGTTTAAGAAAATTACTGGCAAAAGGAAGTAGTAACTCAATCTGCTAATTCTGCTCTTCTTCTCTTTAGAACCAAGATCTATGGCTGAACCAGGTGAGGATCATCAAAAAGCTCATACTTTCTTGATTATACAAATGTATATTCACAAAATACTAATTAAACTCCACTATTTAATTAACATAATTTCTTCCTTCTCTAACATTCTATAGCTACTTGTAAGATGCATGTCATTCTAGACTGTTCCATAAACATATGATTCAATTCTATCATTTTTTAAGAAAATAATGTTTCCATTCTGCTTTGATCCAGTTCTAACTTAGAATCTAAATGTTGCCACCTTATGAGCTGAAGATTAACAAAATTAATGGATGAGGTTCCCCTGTATATCTGAGGTTCATAAGTACACCAGATGATGTAGGACTGAGCTATTTTTATCTAGTTTACCAGTTAGGGAACATTGCATAAGACATTTAGCCATGTCAGCCATTCCCTTTGCTCTCTACTAGCGTAATATGAGAGTATCACATCAGGTGTTCCACCACTGATATCAGCAAATCCTATAAAAGTGGCTGGACTTGCTAATTTCGTGGATCAGAGCAGCATGTAGGCTACTCTGCATATTTTGAGCAAAGAGCCTTACAGGCTTTTACTACTTCTCCATGAGACAATCACTCTCCCCATTATGGTTTCACTATTAAAAATGTAAAGCTGCCCCTCTTAAGACAGAAAATTACCAAATGATTTTTTCTGTGGAATTAATTCCTGTGGAATATAAATTTCTGTAACTCTTCTCCTTGCCCTGTTAAAAGATTTTTGCCCCCAAAAATGTCTTGAATGCAACTTCCTCTCTCTGCAATGTCTCCTTCTGAGACCTAGGAATAAATAAACGGAGTTTCTACTAGAACCCACCAATGCTGTTCCTTTACTGTCCAGTGGCATCACTGCTGAATAATGTGAAGCAGTTTTTAGAGGGTAATCAGTTAGGTGCAGTTGTCACTGCCTCATCACCTGCTGCTGATTCAGAAGGAATCTGCATTTCCATGCATGCAGTGGTTGGCAAATGCAAGTATGTAAACTAGATACTGTAATAACTTAAACTAGTTCTAAAATCCTAGTGCTATAATAAACTATTATTCTCCTATAATTGTTAGCAAATAATCTCTTTGTTGCTACTAGGTTTTCCTCAGTGATGACATGAAACAATCGAGCTTAAGTGTGGTATGGTCTTCCACAGAAATGCTCATGAGTTATTAATCCTGTCGGGTTTTAGGAAAGTTTCTTGCAAAATGGTAGCAAAACAGTCATCGATTAGCAGAAGAAATGCTATCAGCCCACATTTCAATACACTTCCAATGCTACTTTTCCTCCCCATCCCAGCTACCCAATCAAACAAAAGATTTAAAATCCCATCACCATAGGTAATTACTAGCTGGTATTGCTGCCCAGACATGTCAGATCCTGGTCAGACAGAAATGTCATAGCCCCACACTGACTTTTCAAGATGGAATTTAATTTCTTCTAGTACAATTCTGATAGCACATTTTTGGTGCCCATTAATCTTCACAAAGAAATGAAAATGCAGCTTTCTAGAAGCACAGTTAGCACAATCCGCTCTATCTGCAAATCTGCACTGGTACTTTTGGAAAATGCCAGCCTATATGTATATGTTTTGCATTTCTTCACCTTACAGAGTGACTCCACTTGAATTGTTCCCAGTTAATTATAAATAATCTTTCAATTTGCAGAGGTGAAAATACATATATTTTAGTGAGTTGTGAATATAGAATACAATGTATTTCTCCAAATTAAATTTTAAGTTCTTCAGAGAGAAAGTCTGTACTTCATGTGGTTAGGAAAACATTTTCTAATGTTTTCCAAACACTGCTGACACCTGTTCTTCACTTTGTTGGGCATGCTGCAGCATAGAGCATACCAGTTGCTACAGACAATGCTGATAACAGCTGCTGCACACAAAGGCTGCCAAAATTGATAATACTGATGAAACTAAAATCAAACTAAGCAAGGTGGAAAACTTAAGGAAATGTCCCCAAGGGTAGTCAAGGCTTTATGTATTTGTTCAGTGCATGCTCACTTCAAGTAATAATGCTGTTCTGATGCTTTGCAGAGGAAATTTGTACTCTTGTTATCGCTGAAGTATTTTCAGAAGATTCTGGCAGCTTTACGTGTACTGCAAGCAATAAATATGGCACAGTATCTAGTATAGCTCATCTAACTGTCAAAGGTAAGAGTTTGTTTTAGTCTTTTGCCTGCTAATACAAGCAGAGCAGGCTGCTACCCTGTGCAGTCCAGGCTGCTTATTGTACATAGAGATTGCTATGCCTTTTCCAAGTGCCCTTCTGCAATTAGAAATGTGAAGAAACAAAGGACATTAGGGAATGAATTTCACACAGCCCTTCCAAAAACACAGCTCTTGCTGACCTCAAGATTTGGGCAACAGTCATTTCTGGAATCTCTGTGGATTGTCTAGATAGCTATTTCAATAACCCTTTGGTGCAGAGCCCAAAGGAGGAAACCTCAAGACAGATTCTTTCATACTGCCTACATGATTTAAGCTACCAAGGCACTATGCAGTTAAGTGAGCAAAGTACAGTATATAAAAAAAAAGAATAGTGTGCTGTTAACTCCAATTCAGCTCAAGTTCTGACAGTGTTTTTCATGAGTAAAAAGTCAGAGAATTCTCTGAAAAGAAAGTTTGCATTTCAAAGATGCTAGTGGAATTCACAGGACACATGGCTGAAGACCACTGCTGGATCTTCCAAACTAGAACTGTGTCTCTTTTCCCCCACCTTTACAATATTCCTTTGTTAAGGGAACTTGTTGCTAAACAAATGAGGTGAATCAACTCAGTCCAACAGCTGGAAGGACATCAGAGCGAGTTTTTTTAACCGTAACTTTTGTGATTTCATTTCACTATTATTTATGGGGTTTACATATCACCAGAAGTTTGATATTTACTATTTCAGCATCTGAAGACAGTAGTAATGCTGCTACCCTTCACACAATGAGCTCAATCAACTTAATTGCTGCTGAACATCAAGCTCCTCCATGTACTCCTTCCCATCGTGTAGCAAATCAAACCCTCAAACCTAAACTCGAAGGTGTTCTTGTGAACCACAATGAACCCAGATCGAGTTCCAAGATAGGTCTCCGGGTGCACTTCAAGCTGCCTGAAGATGATAAAGGAAGTGAATCATCATCAGAGGATGGACCTGGCATTACAAACCAAAACAGACCCAACTATTTCCAAGAGACGACAAATGGACAGCCAATGAAGATACCAGAGCCAACGTCACCATCTAAGGAACCCCCCCCAGTACTGGCTAAACCAAAGCTGTAAGTAAAAGGGCTTCTACGTCTCAGGTACATCACTGATATTATTTAGTATTCATACAACACCACGCTATTGCACCAGAGCAAAAAAATCAAATGCAGAACAAAAAGACAGTCACTATCACATGGTGCTGGCCTTAAAAACATAGAGCATAGAAAACAGAGCTAGATAATTTTTTCTATCACTCTTGTGAAAACTGTTCCCCAATTTTGAAAGAGAAATGTTTTCACTTTGAAATTGTATTTAATTTCACAAAGTTTTCTGCTGCAAACAAAAGATGGACAACGTGGATTTTATTTGGGAAAAATAAAAGCAGTTTTTTCAAATATATCTCACTCAGTTCTGGGTATGCAATTTTGCCAAGACCAGACATATTCAGGCTTACACATAGCATAGGGTAGCTGCTAGCTAGCTACTGTAGACCCCAAGACCTCAGGACTTTCATGTCTAAACATAACAGATAAATACTTGGAAAAGTTTGATAATGTGAAAACCCTTGGTCTAAAAAGCCCTGCACGATTAGTGCACTGTGAGCTCACGGGGAAATTTTAAGAAGTAGTGTAGTTTTCTTAGAGGACAATTTACGGAATTCACACTGCAGTTTATTAAGAAATATCTTTTTAGAATTTTTGGAACGTCCTAAATCTAGTTTAACAAAAGACACGCAGAGCCCTTATTTTCATTTCTTCCTTAAGGCTCGGGAAGGACTTTATAAAGTAATTAATTGGTACTTTTAAGCAGGGTTGTAATATCATAGCATAAACATTACAAGACAGAACTTACATGCCATGTAGCATAGGAATAACTTGGAGCAGTATTTTTTTAATTTGCTAAGCCCATGTTCACAGCTCCATACACTTTCAGAGCTATGGTGTGTTTAAGAGAGGAACAGAAGCAGCATCTAAATTGTCCAGTGCTTGCATAAAACAGAATTTCTCCTCCCCCCCCCCCCCGCCCAACATAATAAAGGAGTGCATTATTATGCACATGTATATACGAAGTAAACAAAATCAGGATTGCACAACTTCTAAGTCTCTAAAATGCTACTTTTGGAAAGCTTTACATTGTCATATTTAGCTTCAAGGTGATTTTTGTTTAGTACATTCTAGAAACAATAATTCTTTAAAAGAATTTCTCTTGACTTCATGTATTTGGTTCATCAGTACCAGTTGTGGTTGGTCTCTACTATTACATTTTTCACTATTTAACAATAGTTATTTCATATTCAACAATTTATTACATTATAATTTTCCTAACTCTCTATGTTGGTTTTGGTTTTCAAAGGGGAAAAGTTAGCCTGCTTTTCATATGCTCTATTTCCACATACTTAATAACTAACCCTTTGACAAGGCAAAATAATTTTCCTGAAGACATACAGTAAATACAAGGCCTGAAGACATACAGTAAATAGTATCTAGGAAATAACAACTGCATGAAATGCAAGTACTCTCAATTGCACTCCTGCCTGTAACCAAATGCCAATACCACCTTAAACTACATTGGCAATATCTCTTTCGGTGGGTTATTACAAAGCTTCATTAGCCAAAATGCTGGTTTCAGAACCCACTTTAATAAGAGTTAAGTAACTGCAATCTGCCTTACAAATGCTCATTTAAAATCCAATAAACCAAATCCTTCTCTCAGTTACACAAGCAGAAAGGTACTAAAGTGACACAGAACAGTATATGACAGTGCTGTTGCTCTAATATTTTTTACAAAGGCATGTAGTGATAGGTCAAGGGGGAATGGCTTTAAACTGAAAGAGGGTAGGTTTAGATTAGATATTAGGAAGAAATTCTTCGCTATGGGGTTGGTGAGAAACTGGCACAGGTTGCCCAGATAACCTGTGGATGCCCCACCCCTGGAAGTGTTTGAGGCCAGGCTGGATGGGGCTTTGAGCAACCTGGTCTAGTGTGAGGTGTCCCTGCCCATGGCAGGGGGTTGGAGCTACATGATTTTAAGATCCCTTCCAACCCAAACCACTCAATAATTCTACGATTCATGTGTGACTGAAGAAATGTCTTCAGTCAAATCATTTTCATAGAAAATAGTCTTGTGCCTCTGGCAAAGAACGGAAGAAGAAGGAAAAGTTTGTTTCAGTAGCAAACTAATATTATGCTTTCCTCATAATGTTAGAGAATATGTCATGTAGCAGTTTCCCATACCTGTTACTGTAACACAATTCACATATGGAACTGTAGCTAGCCAGCACATTCAGGGCTCATGACCAATTTTGTTCATCTTTGTTTTCTATGCAGTGATCAGACCCAGTTAAAACAGCTCCACAACCAGGTCTTGCTTGAACAACAGCAGGTACATCAGATGTCTGCAAGAGAGTTGTCATTTAACCCAGCTTTACTGAATTCTGCTACTTCACTTCATCAACAGTCAACCTTGACTACATACAAGCAAAGCAATGCTTCTGCTTCTCAAGCATACCGACCTAAGCAACTCCCACCATCACAAACGACACCATCTACCAGTTCCTCTTCTAGCTTCTTAGTTACAACATTCAGCAACATCCCTCAAGGAATTCAAAGGACAAATAACAAAGAAAATTTCACAGGAAATCCTCCACCTGCCCAATCAATGTCTTCAGGAGGGTTTACAAGCAAAACTGAACAGTCTCTACCTAGCCCTAAAGAATCCATGGTGCCTCCATTAACCCTTTCTACATCAAGTGTAAAACAATTTCAGCCACAAAGTGTGACTCCTGCTCCTATCTCCCCAACTGGCCGGATTCAGAATCCAGTAGCTTTCCTTAGTGCTGTTCTTCCTTCACTTCCTACTGTGCCATCAACCAATGCTATGGGACTACCCAGAAGTACACCAAACACGTAAGTAGCATAAACCACATGCAAGGAAGCAGGGACAAGAAATATGCATAAAGGAAACTAGGACATGTTTCTGTTCAAGGGCGCAGTGGGGAGTTTACTGAAATGCAAGTCATTCATAAAATCAAAAAGCAAGTTATTCATGTATTCTGGTCCTTTAATCTAAACTTTACATCAAAAAAGGAAGGGGCAGTAGCTTCTACAATAACATACATCAAGGGTAAGATAAATTCAACATAGAGAAATGTGAGTTTATAAGCAGACATATATCAGAATTTGGGGGCTCAGAGATTCATAAGACTGTACTAGTGGGAGAAAAGAGATTTCATAAGTTTTCAAGGTGGGTCACTCTAAGAGTATTTGCCTGTATGAGCTATAAAAACATTCTACTGTAAACAACAAGTGAAGTTGTAAAAGGTACCTCATAATCTAAGTTATTTTTTAGTCCAGGTAAATCTAAGAAATAACCTATGTAAAGGGATTTGTCTGGTTGCAATATTTTCTATGTTTAAAGTCCACCAGAAAATCTCAGGAGAGTTATTTTTACATAAATATTTTAATTGATAGTATGATTTCTGTGACCAAATGACTATCACTATACAAGCAAATAAGGATGATGATGTTCTGGAAAGGTTGTGGCTTTAAGAGCTCCTTCTTTACCAGTAGAGTTGAAATTATCATCCCTTTTGTGGACCATGTAAACTGTGTGTTAGCATGGCTGGCATGAGTAGATTGATACAACTTTTTATCCATAGAACTCCAAATTCTGCACAAAGTTAGGGATATTTCCCCCTTTTACTAATGGTATACTTCCAAGTAGTGACAGCCATCAGTAAGTCACAATCTCCTAACTATCCTGCTGATAGTACGTCAACCAATCTCTAATTAGAAAATGTGTTCCTGTGTACATAACATTCACCACTCCTTGTGCCAAGAAATCCTGCCTTCAAACCACTATTGCACTCATACTCACAGACTTCCTAGTTGCCCAGCACAGACACCTAATCGTCATCACCCTGTGGCACATGCCTGGAGACCTTTGTGTCCCTGGCATCATGGGCAGGCATATGTAATAAAGTTACAATGTTCACAGTGAAGGTTTTAACTATAGCCAACTCATGCCCTGGGCCTGCTTTCACAGTATTGCAAGAGCAAGCAGAAACCAACTGCAACTGCTCATCCACTCTCCTACCTCCCCTTCAGAGCTGGTGCACAAATGCACAAGCACTATTCTCTTTGCATTAATGACATTTAACCCTTGCAAAGTGCTTTACATTGGCTAACTGCTGTACAGGCATTACTAAATACATCCTTACAGTATGTAGAGTGGTTAAATACTGTTTTCTTCATTTCACCTTTCCTGGGTCCCAGCCCAGAGATGAATTCCCACATAACTAGAGCTCATCATGCTGAAATTAAAATCTAGATCTCTGCATGGGAGAAAAGATGAGGTAGGAAACTGAACAGTATTTGTGTTAATCCATAAATAACTCCTGAAGTTTAAGTTTCCTTCTTTGGCATTATCAAGTGCAATAATTCTGGCTACACGAAGAGTGAGATCACAATGTCTGCAGAACAACAAAAGGAAGAACACCTTGCACAGCAATCATCAGTTATGCCCTTTACTTAGACCCCCTGTTATTAAGATCCCAACTCCTGGTAAACTACTAGAACACTGCACACTCTTTAGTAGTGTGCTGCTGCTGTGCTTCAGCAGTGCACTGTCACGCTCCTGACAGTCTCATTTAAGAATTTAACGATTTTCAAATCTCATTAAAATTAAACAGACTACATCTATAAAATAAAAATAAAAAGAACTGTTGATGTTAGGGGCCATAAAAGGGTGAGAGAAATGAAAGAAGCAGACGTTGATGGGAAGAGTAAATGATTAACGAAGGTGATAAAGATCAATGGGAAATCGTATTAACTTTACAATTACTGCCTGACTCAGTAAAATGTACAAATTGTACACCTATACACATTTCTTTAGCATTAATTGTGATACCATTATTCCAGTATAAATACAAATGGAACTTAGATGCTTATTATAGTACTACAATGCTTATTCTCTTTCATATGTGTGTCCTTAATTCCTACTGGCATGGGAATGGGATGCACCTTTAAAATAGTACAAAAAAAACAAAATTACATATTGTGCTTTGGCTTCTACATAAATAAATAACATGCTCCTCCAGACAACTGAAGTGTAACATTTCATATCAGGTGACAAAAAAAATTTATACTGGTTGCTGCATGTTAGTATCAGAATTTTCTTTTAATAGCCCAACCCAGGGATTAATAAAGAAAAATCTGAGGCCTCTGCCATTAGCAACAGATGATTCTATTCGGGAAAATAAAGCTGCACTTGTGAAGGACCTGGAAAGAAAACTGCATTTCAGAGAGGATGTAAATCAACAAAGTAGTCAGCAGGTAAGAAAAATGAGTGCTATTAAAATAAATTTCACTCATGAACAAGACATGTATTGTGGTACAAAAGGTGTTTGTGCAGTTTGAGCTGCTACAGTACTTTGCAGGGTGAGCTTTTTTGGTAAGTACAGGTTTGGAATAGCAAACTGGAGCTTTAAATAGGAAGTATGAGGGGTTGCAGCTGTAGAGGGTTTACTTTGTGACTATGTGGCATTTTTATTTTTCTGAGTACCTCTGTTAGAGACCAGTAGGAATGTAAAACTTCCTTCTTTTCATGGAAGCTTCTGTGCATTTGATTTCATTTTTTCACTTCACAAGTTGCTCAACTTATTGCACACATACACATCCATACACTGTATATTTTTAACACACATTAAGGAGTAAACAAACCGTTTAAGAAAAGGTTTCTGTTTTTACTTTGGTTGAACTAAAATGCAGTATCCAATGTTTAGCATTAAACCTATTTTTCCAAATCTCCTAAATTACATGTATTGACAGGGACTTGTTAGGAACCTAACAAAGGTTTTGGTACCTGTTACTGGTATATACCAAACTTTAGGCATTAGTAATGTTTAGCAGAATATGAAGCCTTTTCCAGAGTTCAAGGAACTAAATATCAGTTCATTCTTAATTGGAATCAATGAATTCACCAGATCTGGTCAGTGTCTATGAAATTAAAGAAGAAATAAAAAATGAAATTATGTTTTGAAGTTGAAATCACTGTAAATCAGGTTCAAGTGCCTTCATATAACAGTAGGACACACCAAGGATGGCTATATAGCTGTATAGGTGATTATGCTACTCTCACCTTGGCCCCAGAGCCCTCCCAAGATGTCCCGTCAGCTCAGGCTTAATGCAGCAAATAATGGCTTACCCTGATCTGCTGTTGACAAGGGAAGTTTTCACAATGTCTGTTAGCCCTTCTGACAGAGAACATGCTAAGGTAAGCAGAAAGCCATGGAGTCTCTGGAGCAAACTGCCCTCTGTGGACAACTGCAGTGTAATCCCTGTTTTTTTTAGTTTTGCTGTTGACCTTTCTGACAGATCATGCTGCCAAAGCACTTTCAGTAAAACAACTGGCAAGCGGTATGTTTTGCAGATGAATCACAAGTGTTACAATTTGTACTTGCAATGGTAATAAGACAAATTATTTAGAGAGCTACTGTGAAATACCTATCAGTGTTTTAACTTAACTGCACGATAACCCCTTTAGAAACAATGACCACTACTAGTGTCAAAGTTATCTGCTGCCAGCACAAGTTATTTATACACTTATTTGCTATTCTCTCTGAGACCAAATGAAAATCTTGATTCCTATATCCCCCAAACACTGAAAAACTTCAAAGCTGGAAATTCTCTAATTGTCATGGTAATTAGAATGCCGATGGTAATGAACTAGCAAACAATTTTAGGATTGCTCAATAAAAGTTCCCTCATTTTCCCCCCAGTTCCCACCTTTAACCACTTCAGATTTTATTCTTCCACATCCAAGAAGACCACTGCTCAGACTGACTGAAGAAAACTCAAGTCTGAGTTTTCTCCTAACTGAAAGCAGTGATTATTTAAAGAGATAGAGAATGCATAATATTTTCAAAATTCCTACTGCTTTGCCGTTTTTAGAACAATCAATATCATGAGAATAATATGTTGGAATGCTGGATACACACCCATTGATTTTGTCCTGTTTTTTCCTCTTATAGTTAACAAAGAATTAAAAAGGAGACATTTTATTCCTATATATAGCACATCTGCATTAAATTGGTTATTATAAAGGTAGGGAGGGGCTCCTTATTCACTTTCCCATACACATGAATGTAACTCTCCTCTGTGTGAGAGATCACTGCATAATGAAAGGAGTACAGCATCCAATCAGAATCTCAAAGTGTTGGCTTCCTTGTATTTTCTACATGCTATTTTAAAAATTTCTTCTCATAAAATGCATCCTATACAGTATTTTTATTTAGAGAATGGTATTGTAACCCCATATTTCAATAGCAGCATTTGGTCTCATTTAAAATACCTGCGTAACATCTATGGATCATCCAGAATGAAAGCTGCAGATGACAAGTCTGTGCTTTAAAACACTGGTATTGATTTACATTACTATATAAAGTGCAGTAATAAACATGAGTGATTTACATTCTGGTGCTCTATTTATTATCTATCAGTGACTTCCATATGAAAAATGTTTAGCTTACAAGTCAAGATTTTCCTAAGTGTCAGCATTACACGCTCAGCATGATATCCAGTATTCCAGATGTACTCCTTCTGTTTCATCCAGTACATCATTCATCACCAACAATAAAGAAATACAGAATCAGAACATAGTTGGTAATTTTGCTGATGCTGCATGAGACAGAACAGATTAGATTCTGGTCTTCTACAGCTATGACAATCATGCAGTGCTGACAGAAATACAAATATGATTTTGCTAAGATTCTAGCTGCAACTTTGATCAAGTACCTGCAATAACAAACTGTCATTTTTACCAGAAAAAAAAAAAAAAAACAAAACAAAACAAACCCACACCATACCTGTCATTCATGCAGATGGCTGTCTGCTATACTGCCAAGCTAAATTTCATCACAATTAGGAGTGTTGAAAAAAATGTGGTTCAGTGAAATCAAACATCTTCAGTTAGATTTGCTCAGTTCTTTCAAATGGAAGACACGCTAAATGAGGATTAGCTTTACACAATTGCAGAAGGAGGTTGGAACAAATCCCAGGATACAGGAAACAGTTTCTTTCTTGGCCTGAAGACAGTCGGTACACAACTCCCATAAGGAACAGCATAGCTCCTTGCCAGTGAGTACGTGTACTGTTGGTGCTGTCCCAGGTTGCACAAATAATTAAGCATCTTTAGTCAGCAGGATAAAAATCTGGAAATTCCACCTTTCAGAACAGCTCCCTTAACAGGAGACCTGAGCCTGTCTCTCACCTTCTCCTGCCTAATAAATAAAACTTAATACTTTCAGGAAGTGTGGAACAGGCCCTCCTTTAGCAGGACGTTTTGGAGAGCATTTCAGCTTAATGGTTAGGATTGTCTGAGGAAGCTGCTAGAATCCTTTCTTCCAGTTTGGGTTGGAGAAAAGAAACAGACTGAGACAGAAAAAGATAATCACTTTCCTGCCTAGGAACTAGAACAAACACCTGGATTGTTGTCCTTGCTGCAGTGGCTGTTTCAGTACATCTGCAAAAGTGAAACTCCAGCCCCGTAATGTTTTATTAGCATAGAGCTCAGAGCTTCCTCTTGGAGACTAAGGTTAAAATCCTGTAAGACAAAGCATCCAAGTCTCCTAACCTCAGTGAATACCTGAGCTTCCACACCATTCGATGAAAGAAGAGCACAGCCAGTGTTACCTCCGCTTCCCAAAACCTGTCAGTTTTGTCTGTTGGGCTTTTTATCTTCCTTACAAGTAAAATATCTTGGTAATGTTTAGTCAGAATATGTCATGTAGGAACAAAAAGATGTGTGAGGAGAAAACAGCAGACAGAGAATTTGGGGGAATTTTTGCAAATGGAAAAAAATATAAATGTGTCATACAAACTGATTCTCTTACCTTGGTATTTGAAAACATTTACAGGCTTCAGCAACGGGACTATAAATAGAGGAAATTCAGCATTACAGGCAAACCTTAGAAATTAATTATATTACCTCCTCAAAACTTTGCTATGCAAATAATATAAAATAGAAAAATGAGATAATTAAACCTCAAAACCCTGTACAGTAATAAAGAAAAAGAAATAACTGTGCAATAATAAAGGAAAGGAGAGTTAAGTACCTGGGCCTGGCTTATGCCCTTTGGTTATAAGAACTACAGACTATGCTCACATATCTGTATCATTTACTATGAAGAATATAATGTGGCAATGCTGGTTGGTTGTGTCCTGTTGTAAGACCCAGACAACAGAATTATCACTGCCTTATTTTAGGATGAAGAGTAAATCTACAGCTGTTTAGAAAATTATGCACAGCCCTTACATGAATATTCTTTATTTTTGCTAGGAAATATTTTGGAAGAAATTTCAAAGTAGAAGAGATGCAGGATTTGTCTGAAAGCTTTTAGATCATTAAAACCACAGCCTGTAAAGTCACATGCAGAACTCAACTCATCACACAGGCCACTAACACTGCAACATTGATCAGACAGAATCACCACCTCTCAATTCTCATACTAAGCAGTCAGCCTCAGAAAGGTCCCAAGCGTCACTAAGAACTCTGTTCCCCAGAGCATAAGAATTACACTTACTTCAATCACCCCCAAAATCTTGGTCAAAACCAAGCTTCACATCATCTCTCAAAGGTCAGCAAATGTAGGCAGTTTTGGATTAAGGATGGGAATTAAATCACAAGGAGTCCTCACAGTAGCTTGTTTGATCTGTACTAGAAGTGAGAAGAGATTTAAGAACCTGACCAAGACAAACTACCAGTTCTTGATATCAGTAGGTATGAACTCCCAGTTATCATGGGAATGAATAAATGAACAACCACTTGTAGCTATCTTCTCAAGACCCAGATCTAATCAACAACAAAGTACAGACAGGTTTTCCTCGTGAGGGTCTTGGCTTGCAGAACTCTTCACCTAGGAAAGGGAACCTGAGCTCCTCATGCTTTCCCACACACTCCTAAGCCACTTGCTCTAGCTGGCACATTTGTGGAAGTTTAGAGATACAAACCTCATTTGCTTGCTTTTCTGTTTTCCTCTTGCTCAATCACAGAGCTGAACTGTATTTAGAATATTGTCTAGCCATGTACCAAAGATGACTTGCTAAACTCTTCAAGGCTTTTTGTTTTCATAGGCATAGCATGATATTCATGTCTTGTGCCATGTAAGACGGCCCAACAAAATTCATCTGCAAGAAATAAATCACTTCAGTGATACATCTTCATGGGACATACGTAAAGAAAAGCATGCACATTAGATCTATTGTTTTTGACTCCCACTGCTGAAATAGGAGGGGGGGAGGGAAAGGAGAGAGAATCCGAACTAAACAGAAGATTT